TTGCCTCGCTGTAACAAGTTGTAGAGATCTAGTCTCAATTTTGTGGTCACCTTGTATCCTTAATTGTCTCGCAGTACATTCGCCTGTCTCTTAAAAAAAATTTTGCAGCCTACAATTAAAGCTGCTGAATAAAGCAATCACCCGCCATATTCTTCCATAATAAAGGGAATATTTTTTTTCAAAACATTTTGTGTTCACTGATGTGAAACCAAAACAAAAATATCCATCCGCTTTCCTTCTTCTTCGATCGAGCAACCGTTGCAGTCGTTACAGAGTCAGACTCGTCCATTAAGATAATAAAAGAAGGAAAAAAATCACATACACATGTTTGAATGATGACTTTTCTTCTTTACATATTTTAATAACAGCAAAGAAATCTTGCACAACTTCGTCATCACCGTTTCCGAATGAATGTCATTCATCAACGAGAACTGTTTCAGTTCAGATACATTTAATATTCGAAAGCTAATATCTTCCTAAACGGTTCTTTTCACGAATATCCTAATGAAATCCCCTGACAGTTACCTTCCTCCCTAAACCGTTTCGCTTTCAGCTTTTCCAATAGATACTGACACACGTCACCTAACAGAAAAGCATGATTACGGATCTTACCTCAGCCCTCCGATCAGCAAGATCTTTCGAGTTGTTTGCCCAGGAAACGTAAGTAATACAGTATCCCAATTTGTCCTATTGAAACCGATTGACCATTTGAAAACTTCACGAAATTTCAGAGCTTGCTTTTATCTGATCTAAGTAGATTCAACTAGCAAACATTCACTCCTGAAGAAAGAAGCTCAATATCTTTAATGATCATAAATATTCCTTTTTGCAGAGAACAAAGCATGTTTACGCACCGTCGCCCTTGCACAAATCTGCGCATTTTGAAACAACTTGAAACAAGATTTAAACCATTTAACTTAAATCTAACAGTGATCACGGCTAACCAATTTGGAAGACGCTGTTTCACACACCCAAGTGATTTCATGACCTTTCATGGTGACTGAATATTGACTCACTCACTGATATCTGAGGAGCTCTGCCTCGCTCTGCACCTGGCTATGACTACAACATGAAGAAAGAAAAACACCATTTTACGTTGAGAGAGCGAAGAATCCTTCAATGATTTTCTATTTTAAGTATTCAGACAAGAGCTTTGATAATGTTGCTGTTAGAGGCGAGGAGCGCATTTTTAGGCCTCTTGTAAATTCGTTGAAGGAAAGTTATGCCTCAGCCTACAACTGAAACTCCCGAATAAAGAAAAGTCACCATGTTTATTCATAATGAAGTGAATTATTTTAAAATTATTAAATAAATGTCTTTACTAACAAAAATATCCATCCGCTTTCCCTACCTGAGCTAGCCTGTGAGCAGCATTTCGCATCGACTTTTTCGATGCAGATATTCAAATTCCAAGGTCTGCTAGCAAGCTCTCCTTCCTTTTCCCGCCCCGTCTACAGAGCGCCCCGGAGAGCTTGCTCGCAGACTATATTTGAACAACTGGAGCCGCCACAGAAAATATCCATACCATACCACAGACAACTTCCTTATTTTAACCCCCTCTTGACTTCGGAAATACCAAAATGGGTTACCCCCATGCCCTCGGAATTCCATAATCGTTAACCCCCTTCCGGCTTCCATTCAAATTTTCCACTTTTTCGACAAACCCCTCGGAATTCCGGGCAGTGTCGTAAATACGCCCAATTTCACGCTTACTTTCTGCAAAATATTTCAAATGACTCCACCTCTGTACTTCCAGAAATTCTGGAATGAAACTTTTTCAAAAAAAATAGCTCACTTCGGAAAAGAGTGATAGCCTGGGACCCAAACTAGGTACGTTGGCATTTATGGAATTATTTGGGGGGACGCGAATGTCAGTAAACAAACATGGCGGAAAGTGAAGTGGAATGTTTCAGCGGGGTTCAAAATAGCAAAAAGGGTGCTCAAAATAGCAAAAAGGAAGGTGGAATTGAAAGAAAAAAAGCATGAAAATGTGAAGCTGAAGGAAAAAGATGGTCCAGGGTGAATTTTACCTCGAGAAACAACAGAAGAATGCAGCGTGAAACAGCTTCAAAGATGGCTTCTTTGCCGTGAAGCCAAAACAACCGCAAAGAAAGCGCAGCTCGTACAAAAATAAGTACGCGTGGACCGGGAGGTTCCTGAAATTATTTGTACACAAAAAACACAACAACTCTCACGTCTCGTCATAATCTTCAAGGTGGCTGTTCGACCTGTCCCCCCAAACAATCCCATATATGAACGCGCGCTTAGTTTGGTTCTCAGGCTATTACTCTTTTCCGAATTGAGCTGTAGAAGTTAAACCGCTGTTAAACGGATGCAACCTGCATTAACTTAACATTGTCTCAAACAGGTACAGAACCTTAAAATATAATAGAATATCTTGTGATGATTAGAGCGTTTAGTTTCGGACTATTAGTGACCATTCATATGCTCCGTTTCTTCCAACAAATCGCCAGAGATCTGAAAACCTTTTTAATAATTCCTAAGGTGAATGCTGTATTTTTTTTTCACTTTAATGACATGCTTCACTTTAATGACAGGCTTTTTTTCACTTTAATGACAGGCTTCACTTTAATGACAGGCTTTGCAATCCGCCATAAAGAAGCTGAAGAAAACGAAAAGAAAAGAGTGTAGCCATGCAAATAACTTTTGAACTGGATTCTGAGGTGAAAAATGAATTTAACATCAATAGCCCATTTCCGAGTTTACCCCAACCCCTGTTATCAAGCCTTTGATATGAAAATGATTTTTTATTCTCATGCAAATAAACTCATTTACACAAAAATTAAAAAGGAAAAAGCAAATGTGGACTTAAAAGGTAGCTTTCTTTTTACTCTAAAGGTTCTCATTTTTAAAAGCAGAGACTTCACACTTAAATTCTTAAAACAGAAAGGCGTTTGTTATAAACTTTGTGTTACATTGAAACTGACTGGCAATTTAACAGCGCTTTACTACACGAATAGCGCTTTTGATAGAACTAATTGCAAAATAGATATATAACTTGTAAATACGAACAAACTCAAATACACCTGTACACAAAAATTGATGTAAAATAAACCTAGAAAAGTATTTGTACATGTCGAAACCTCTTTGAGCACATACGTTGTGTTGTCTACGAGCCTTAACTACTCAGAGGACGAAAGGAGAAAGAGTTGAACGAAAACCTTCCACACCCTTCGGAAATCCTGACAAGAAGATGAACACGTTCATAAGTAGTATAGAACGCACTAAACGAACCATTTTTGTCAAGGCCGTCCTTACAAGCGCATAAGCTCCTTATGCTCAGACTAATGCTTATGCTTGCCTCGATAGTGAGCTGGGACCAGGCCCCAAGTTGTTCAAAATGTGAATAATGTTATCAACTAGATAAATTTCTATCTAGTGCATGGCGCGATTGGTTTTCCTAATACTTATTCGTTGTACAGTGATTTAGAAGTTGCTTGAATAACGCTATCCAACGTTTGAACAAGCGGGGCCAGGTTTCAAAGATAAGTTCGATGTCTGACCCAACAGACGATCTTTACTTAATTCAGGTCGACCCAAATTAGAGTTTGGCTCGTCTCGTGCAAAGTTCGACGTTTGGCTTAGGCCTAAGCCTAAAATACATCAAAGATAAATAGTTTTTCTATACAACCATAAAAACTCCATATGTGAATAATTTATGAAGTCGATATCCTCCATCGAGTGACCAACTAAAGTGGTACTTGGTTCTCCTAAGTTACTGTATGCAGATCCTTTCCTAGGCACCTACCAGGCAAAGAGAAAAACGTAACAACGAGTTTACTCTCCGGGGAACACCTCAAAATCAATAATCTATATCTAACACTCCTAGTATCGTAGTATAATGGTGAATTTGCGTGTCCCTTGTGTTACACTAGCAGAGTCTGCACAGGTGAACCAGCAAGTTTACCCAAAAAAACAATTACAGTACACCTCATCCAGGGTAAAAAGTCCCATTCACAAAATATATCCTAAATAACTTATTCCCTGGCCTCAGATCATAACACTAATTTATCTGATCCGACACCTGTTATAGCAGCAAAATAAAAAAGGCGATTTTCGACATGAGAAATTTTTTTCTAAAAATAGAATGCCAGATATTATAAAAAGGCGATATTAAAGTTAAGTCCACTAAAAAACAAAAAGATGGCCTACCAAAATATAGTTTATTGAAACGCTAAGGTACTTCAGCATCGTATTTGTAAAACAATTAGAATTAAACAGAAAAGGAGCTCAACAAAAAACCCAGAACCTATTTGGGATTAATTAGCCTTTGTTAATAAAGTAAACAAATTCACTGTTATACGTCAATTGATGTAAGCTTACCGCCATAGATTCTATTTCTTTTAATTTTTTTTAATTGTTGCTGCCTACTTAATGAGCACTGGGGTCACTCACACCTAAAGCATTTCCGTCCCTAGAGCAGTAGCGTCACTAATGAAGCCGAGTTGCTCTGAGGATAAAAATGAACGCAAAGTATTTACAGTTTTTGTCAGCTGAGACTTTCAATATGGATTCACAAGGATTATATTTCATCGACAGTCTGAAAGTTTTTCCAGTCTGATAGAATTCTGAAACATTTTAGTGTAAAATTGATTGCTTTTTATGCATGCTAGAATAGAGATTTGACAGAAGTTGCAGCAACGATCAAAGTAATCAATTCACTAAGAGAATCTAATGGGTTACGCTTGAGCTGGTTTTTATTTAATGTCTCTAGATCTCAGAAAAACTAAGACCAACGATTTTTTTTCAGTCGCCAATATGTTTTTAGTAAGAGTAATGCTTCCTAAATTCCCATCAAGTGAAAAGCAGGAGGCACGGCATGCAGGGTAACACTTCTATACGCACTTTCCTTTCTATCTAAATACCGAAATGAATATTCCTAAAGAGAGCACCGACTACTGTGTGTAATTATAAATTTAAAATAAATACTGTACAAAACCATCTCCGGAAATATAGACTTACCTAGAATTAAAGGAAATTTATTCACATAAAGCGAATTCTAATGTGACGTCATCACCAATGAGCACAAACGGTGCCCAGTACTTGACTGCGCCAAACTCCTCAGATTCTCTCATGTAGCTCATTGCTTGATTTAAGGCTTCACCCGCACTTTTTCCTTTTACAAGATGCTGATAGAAATTTTTCATGAACTCAAGAGTGGCCTTATCGTCAACTGCCCACAAAGACACGAGAACAGAACGAGCACCGGCTCCCAAAAATGCCCTTGCTATGCCTACTACACCTTCTGCTTTGATCTCACCATGAGCACTATGACAGCAACTGAGTACAACCAGTCTTGCTCGCATTTGAACACCCAGTACATCTCTCATTGTCAAAAGGAAATCCATCTCACTATTTGGTGCCAAGGCAATTTCGCCTGCTTTCATGCTGCCATGTGCAGCAATGTGCACCAAAGCAACCGAACCGAGTCGTCTTAATACCTCATCCTTTGTGGCTTGTCTTCCAATAAGAGGTGTACAGTCAAGAATTCTGCCAATCGTCTCTACCTCCTCTCTGGCATGTGGCAATCTTGGTAGTTTTGTCACATCTTGCACCCACGGGTCACCCACAAGAAGCGCGCCAGACATGACGTGGTAATCTACCGGGCAATCGGCAATTATTTTCAAGCTGGTAAGAGATGGAGCTATGCGAATTCTGAATGATTCACTGAGGTATTTGGAGTTTGGACCCTTCAATGCGGCAAAAGGAGCCAAACAGAGTGGACCTTCGGGGACGAATAGGATTTCACTTCCCAAAAAAAGATCTTGAATAGGATCAATGATTACGTCGGACAAAGTATTCAAAGAATTGTGTAAGTTCTGGAATTGACTGCCATCAAGAGTTGATCTTTGAACTGCCAGTCTTTCATGTCTTTTGTCATTCAGCAATTTAAGTGAGCGATCTTCACACTCCACATGATCTCTTGCACCAATTTCCTGACAAACAAGCTCCACAAGAGACTCAAAGAAGGAGCTAATTTCCCCCTTTGAATCTACTGGGTTTATTCTTAATTCAAGGGCCGTTCCTTCCTGACAAACCCAGAAAATTAATTCGTTCTCTCCAAGCGCCATAAATATCGTATTCGTGGGAAAGTGACTGGACAGTTCAAAAAAGGTTATCATGTCTCCTTCATCTGACTCAGCGTCTTTCACTTCTAATCCATAATTTAATGCCATAAGGTCCTTAAGACCCTGTGCTCGTCCACGCTCGGCAGAAATCAAAGCTTCTATAATCTTGCCTTCTGCTAACAACAAGCGCCAAAGTGCAGTGTATGCTGTCTGGTATTGATCCCGTAAGCTTATTTTCCACTCGTCGTTCAACGGAAGACGATCTCTGACATTTTTGAACGAACTAATACTTAGTTGGTAATATCCAATAGCCACGGGAACTTGGCCTTTATATTTAAAACAAGTACCAAGTCTTGTGTACGTTGTTCCCTCTCCCAATTTGTCACCCAATTCTTTTGTAATTTTCAAGTCACGTTCAAGGTAGTCTATGGCTCTTTCAAAATCTCCCAGATGGCTATAGGTGGCGCCAAGATTGTGATACGCCATTCCTTCTCCCGATATGTCACCCAATTCTTTGCAAACTTTTAGGGAACGTTTGTCGTAGTCTATGGCTGTTGCAAAATCTTGCAGCTCGCGATGGGCGTTGCCAAGATTGCCATACGCCTTTCCCTCGACTGATCTGTCACCCAATTCTTTCGCAACTTTTAGACTAAGTTCATAATAGTGTATTGCTTTCTCTAAAACTCCCAGACTTTGATGGGCACAGCCTAGATTGCCATACGCTTTTTCTTTCGCAATTTTTAGATGAGATTTATGGTAGTCTATGGCTGCTCCAAAATCTCCCAGTCTGTCATGGTCACTGCCAAGATTGCTATACGCAAATCCTTCCCCTGATTTGTCACCCAATTCTTTCGCAATTTTTAGTTGACGTTCATGGTAGTCAATGGCTGTTTTAAAATCTCCGAGACTGCGGTAGGTGATGCCAAGATTACCATACGCCGTTCCTTTTCCGCATCTGTCACCCAATTCTTTTGCAATTTTTAGATGACGTTGATGGTAGTTTATGGCCGTTTTAAAATCTCCCAGACTTTGATGGTTGCAGCCAAGGTTGCAATACGCCAGTCCTTCTGCCGATCTGTCACCCATTTCTGTCGCAATTTTTAGATCACGTTCATGGTAGTCTAGGGCTGTTTTAAAATCTCCCAGAAGATGATGGGCACAGCCAAGATTGCTATACGCACCTCCTTCTCCCGATCTGTCACCCAGTTCTTTTGAAATGTTTAGATAATGTTCAAGGTAGCTTATGGCTGTTTTATAATCTCCCAGAGTACGATAGGTGTTGCCAAGATTGCCATACGCCTCTCTTTCTCTCAGTCTGTCACCCAGTTCTTTTGCAATTTTCAGATGGCGGTCAAAGTAGTTTATAGCCGTTTCAAAATCTCTCAGACTGTGATGGGCGTCTCCAAGATTGCCATAAGCAGTTCCTTCTTCCGATGTGTCACCCAATTCTTTCGCAATATTAAGATGACGTTCATAGAAGTCTATGGCTGTTTTAAAATTTCCCAGACCGCGATGGGCGTCACCAAGAGAGCCATACGCATCTCTTTCTCCTGATCTGTCACCCAATTCTTTTGCAATTTTAAGATAACGTTCGTGGTAGCAAACGGCTGTTTTAAAATCTTCCAGACTTTCATGGACTCTGGCAAGATCGATATACGCCACTGACTCTCCTGATCTGTCACCCAATTCTTTTGTAATTTGTAAGTGACGTTCATGGCAGTCTATGGCTGTTCTAAAATCTCCCATACTCCAAAAAGCACTGCCAAGAAAGCAATACGCCAATCCTTCTTCCGATCTGTCACCCAATTCTTTCATAGTTTTCAAGTCACGTTCATGGTAGTCTATGGCTCCTAGATTGCGATGGGCGGAGCTATGTTTGCCATACGACTCTCCATCTCCTGATCTGTGCTCAGAGTTGTCACTTTTACTTAGGTTTTTAGCTGTGCAAGTTGCATTCGTACAAGTTTTCTGTCAAACAAATTACATACAATGTATGAAATAATAATTTACATTAAAGTTTCTTAAACTCAATCTTCCATCTGGAAATAAAAGTAATCAGTTTCATTTTTTTCTTTTAATTCGGAAAAGATTAGTTAAAGTTTGAGGATGAGCCTGCCCCAAATAGTTATAGCCAGATCTTACTCCTTTCTTTTTTAACCCGGTTTTTAAGGTGACTCGACCCAGTTTTGTTTAGGGGGTACCATCCTACTTTGAAGCTCTCTGGTATCCCCACCTTTACTTTTATCGTAAGTCTAACACGTAGAATGGATAACATATAGATCAATCTACAATATAACATAAAATTTTTGGCGATCGGAGTAAATGTCACATGGTTATGATGCCACGCCCCTTTGACGTCTGAGTCGAAAATCTGCTGTTGCCGGCATTTTTTCGTGAAAATCTCTCGGCTACACATAGTGTGCATTAGTGCCTTGCGCTGAACAGAGTTTCACCAAAATCGCAAAGACCCAGTTCGAGAAATTCAGCGGTTTCCATTTTTAGGTCATAATTTATGCGAAAATGATAAGCAAACTTTACACGGATTATATTTAATAAACTATGTGATTCATCTCTGTATTTTGGGCATCCTTATAACAGATGGGTCCTTGCAAGTCAGCAAAACAATTTAGGGCCTTGTAAATGCGCGCGATTTCGAGCAAAGCAAACATTTAGAAATTATAGTTTTCGCTATTTGTTGACGTTTGTCAGCGTTTAAGAGTCAATCTCACGAAAAAAGCATTTTCTTAAAAATTCTTGGTTTTTTTTCCTTCAAATTTTTTCAGGGCCACAATTAACTAACTACCCGGACTCTGAATTTCATGGTCATTGAAAAACTGTGACATTACCCTCTATAAGCCCAAACTTGAGTAAACATTGAAGATTTTTAGCGTTTTGGCTGAGTTTGTGCTTTGGGAGTTGTCTATTGTTTCTAGTCTGTCATTATACAGCATTCTTGTCCAGCACGCGTGCACGTGAAACTTTTTTATGGAGGAAATTTCTTACGTTTTCTCGTTCACTTTTTTTTTACTGATTTTCTCCTTGCATTGGTGGCCGCTAGCATTGTCATTGCCGCTACAAAATTTTCATGTTGTTCTTCCAACAAAAAAACCTCTTTTGTTTTTTATCTCTCGCTCTAGATCTCTGTCGCCGTTTTTCTTGTTGAGTTTCGCTGGCCTGTCGCTTTTCCTCTTTTTCTCTGTCTTTCTCTCGCTCTATATTCCAAATTTTTGGACATGACAATTAATCTAAGCTTAATACTTTAGAAAACACGGATACAGAAACAATTGCCGCTTTCCGGTTTCGTCTTTGTTGACACTTTCGCTGCCTCTGCTTTACAAGACGCGGGTGGCTATGCGATTTCCCGCCAAAATAACCTCGAGTTGCATTTAGGTTGCCATACCTGTTGATTGAGTTATTTAACATTGGTATGCCTGTGGTGCGGACGGACGGTCAGGCGTACGGTCACATGATTACCAAATTGTCTCGGATGGGTATATTACCACATTTTCTTATCCATAGTGCTCCGCTTCGCGCGCGAGGGATCCGCTACTAACAAAAAGACAATGTCTTATATCACTGTCAATACGGCTTTCGTGATCATCGAACATTGCTCCCCTCAACACGCCCTGATTGATATTGTTGATGGCACAAAACTTAACATCAATAGGAAACTTTAGTCCTGCGGTATTTTTATCGATTGAACAGGTATTGGAGAAGACGTTCTGCGAGAACAAATAGCCGAACTACTGCCTTACTGGTATAACAAAAATACAACTCGACGGACAACAACTCAGTGCTATTTGAAGAATATCTGCGTGACTAAACATCTCTTTATATCTTGAATTTTCCAATAAACAGGCAAGTGAAAACGGGAAATTACCATGGGTCGAGGTAAGCATGTTTTTAAAGTATAAATCAATTGTTAATCCTCGGCCTCGGCGGATAAAACCCTTCACAATCTGCATAATTTTTCAGACCATATGAAAGCCGAATCAAATAATTGCTAAGTATACCATTACTGGTTGTCGAGCGTAAACATCATTGTGTCGATTCTTCAAAGGTCCAATGGTTATCCCATATCAGAAACGCTAATCTTTGTTACTAAAAAAGTAAATATTCCCAAACTGAATATCTAAAGATTTTCCTCTGGCTTAAATTATAAATTTGATCACGTAATCAAAATTTTAAAAAATAAGGCAATTGACGATCTTCATATAGAGTGTTCTTCAATTTTCTCTACTAAATTCGACGATAAACTCAGCTACAACTCACTACTGAGTGTCACTGTCTCCCTTCCAAACAAATAAAACACTTCGCGTCACTCTCTTTTAAACGAAAAGAACACTGTGCGAAGCTCTCTTCCAAACAAAAAGAACACTGCGCGACGCTCTCCTCCAAACAAAAGAACACTGCGAGCCATTCTTCCAAACGAAAAGAACACTGTGCGTCACTCTCTTCCAAGCAAAAACAATGCGCGTCAATCTCTTTCAAACAAAAAGAACAATGCGTGCCACTTTTTTCCAAACAAAAAATACCGCGTGTCACTCTCTTCCAAACAAAAAGAACACCGCGTACTCAATTCTAACCCAAGATAGGAAGTTAAGCTGACAACCTAACAAATCGAAAGTTGTTTTAAAACATAGGACTTTGCCTACCAGAGCAGCCGCTTTTTACAGTTCTTTTTTTCTCTGCGGAGAGACGTATTTGCTCTCTAGCCTACTGTACAATGAGATGAGTTCTCCAAGTTAAAACCTTCAATAATGCTGAAACTACGTCATTAAAGTCCTATTCCATTATACTCACCTCTTTTCCTTGATTGTCTTTCAGTTTCTTTTCTTCTATCACAGACCAGTCCCGTAATTCCAACAGGTCATGGTTAATTGGGTCGAACTTGAATAAGTTAAATTAACACAACCTGCCAAATTTAATTACTAAATTTGAAATAATTAAATTATTCCGAGTGCCGCAACGTTTCCATGGTATTGCAAAGTAGCTGCTGTTCAGCAACGATCAAATATTTAATCAACACTGCTTCACTTCTCCTCACTTCACGTTTATTTTAATTTCTCCCTTACCAATAATGATATGCATTCTAGAGGGGAATACATGGTCCTCTTTGAGTGCCTTTTATACCATTAGAAAAAGGTCAGTTCTGTACTCGCCAGGAGCCAGTTGATTTATAAGGAGTGCATGTGGGCCTACACAAGATACACTTTTAACGTTGATTATGATATTCGGGTGTTAAAATATATTTTACGAGTGAGTGAACGAGTGAAATATTTTTCAACACAACAAAAGAAAATTCTTATCTGCAAGAGGCCATGTAATGTTCTTGAAATACGAAACCATTTCAATTTTAAAATATTGTTTTTGCTGCCAATGCGCGATTTATTATGTAACCACAGCAACAGTGATCTTTTCACGTATGAAGGTATCGTGTTATTTTAATGTGTAAAAATACCATCTTTTAGCGCAAAAGTTCACCTGGTATAGCCTGCGTGGGAGGCGCAAAAGGGGGAGGGAAGAGAAAAATGCGAAAGAGAGAGAGATTGAACGCCTGCTCTAAGAAGCGGTATTTTTGCATATGCCCACCATTACGCTGCTAATCCGATAACGTCAACTGTCAATATGTGACCAATCAGAAGGAAGTACACAGCGCTTCTCATCATGGGCGAAACTTCAGACACTTCACTTTGTTATGTCGAAAAGGTTTTCTTCAAATGGTATCATAAATGAGTTAATTAGTGATTAATTCCTAATAACATTGTAAGACTTGTCTTTAATTCAATAAAAACTGTCAAAAAAATAAATGAGTTGGAAAGAACAGTTAAACCTTGTCGAACTTAGAGTTGCCCGGCAAACCTGACAAATAATGGCTTTCTTGTGAATTAACAAAACTTACTGGTCTTGCCTAACCAAATAGCGGTCCCATAAACAGAACAGGCTTGACAAAAAGGCCAATTATGAAAGGAGAAATATAAATATATTTGTCAAAAAGCTCCATGGATAGTTTTTACCACTTTTTCCCGGAGATTCAAATCATATTGAAGCTTTTTTGAGGAGGCATATGATAAACTGAAAATTTTGCTTAGCCAGCTTTTAAAATTCTCCAAATAATTAAAACCGGCCCCTCTCGTGAGAAACGGCTTGCAACGTCGAACCTGAACTTGGTGTTTAGCCAGAAAAAACCTCCAACTGATCATCCTTGCCTGTTAAACAATCTCTTGCAGCTTGTTCTCTTTCCGATTTTAATGCCAAGTAGCTACTCGATTGGTGTAATTTTGATCTGACCTTCTATAGATTTTGCCAAGAAAACATCTTTTCTTTGTTGACTGTCACTTCATCTTGAATTTTTTTTCCTTTATAAGCGTAAATGAGTAATTCACTCTGGCTCTATCAACAGGAATTTGCGGCCGCAGAAATAAACAAAGAGGTGTTCTTGTAGCAGGTGCCAATTTTCCTCTTTCCCCAGTCCCCCTCCTTTTCCCCCTTTCTTCCCTCTTCCTTTCTCTTTCAACGCCTGCCAAGCAGGCTAACCTGGTATAACAGGGGTTTATAAGGAGATGATCTCTAAATGGAAATTTCTTTATTAACCCCAGTAAAAGATACTACTAATCCTTTATGACACCATCTGATAGCTTCTTTGAACTTTTTCAGACGAACACAGGCACTTGCACCTGAAAAGGAAAGAAATCACTGCTTCATGTTTGTTATATTAAGGAAGGAACGTACCTTAAGAAAAATGGAATTTCCAGCGTTTGAGTGGATACGAATTAGCCGGAAATGAATAATTTCTGCGGCACGGGAGCAGTGGGGACTGGGGCAGTTGAAGTGCAGTATGGGTAGAATGTAGCGCTATAAAAGGGATGCTTATCACGTGGGAAAGCATTCTAGGTGGACACCTCGTCTAGCTCATGTTATTTTTTGTTTATTTATTTATTTTAGTATATATTTGATTTACTGGTGGCAGTTCGATTTTTCCAGGGGTTTCTTAGCTTGTTTGCGTTTCCTTAAATTATTTAGAGTTTGCCGTCCTTTGTTGGAATACTTGTTTTGTAAATAAGGGCAAAGTCCTTCCAGCCGTGTAGCCTTCGTAGGATGAGCTTTTCAGAGCATGAGCCATGGATCCTACCCAGATTTCCTGCCGAGTATTTTTTTTTCCTTACTGAGGTTTTTTTCCAGCAGGTTTTTTCTGGCCTCTGCTCTGACAGTATTCTGTGTAAACTGTCGCTCAGCTCTGTTCTAGTTCTTACACCACATATTTGAATGTAATAGAAGATGTTGTATAATGTATTGTTATAACGTATTGTTATATCTGCAGTGCTCGGCCGAAACAACCAAAATAAACCTAATGGTTTTTCTATTCATGTTGTACTGCGTAGTGGAGCCGAAATTATTTGAGAGTGTAAGGAGTGGAGGTTTTTTGCTTTTAAAAATTTCGTATTCTAAGGGTTTATTAACGGCTGATATGGTCTGGAGAAATTAAATAGTAATTATTATTGATTCATAATATTTCCCCGGTTCTGATTGGATAAAAGCACACGCATAATTCACCATAACCAGCTACTGATGACCAAATTTGGAAGAATTTTGCGATTAATCAACCGATGACTTTAAAAGTGCCGCGGTCTTGCAGCTTAATGCACCGTTAACCGAGAAGACCTGGGGACCAAGTTGAGTTGTTTTGGTTGTGAAGACAAAATGGCAGACATTTCACTCCTTTAAAGAGTAAGAACTAGGCGAAATAATAGCTAAAAACATGGCAAGAACAACAAGAACATGAAGACAACTCGAATGGCGACATGTCCTATTTGAAGAATATTTGCGGCGCCGAACAAACCTAAAAGTGCACTATCGAAGATGAACTTAACATCGATGGAGGTAAGCATGTTTTAGCTATGTTAAACAATTCCCAGTTAGGTCTTTTCGTTGCTGTAACAAGATTTCATTAACGAGTTAAAAAGAAATATCATATTTGAGGTTTTAGTTGTGTGGGGCATTTAAAAATAACCAGTTGACGTCCGTTATTTAAAATTTAAGGGGGTAAAGAACATGAGTGAAAAAGTCGGGAGACTAGGCCGAGGGCTGTAGAGAGTCAACCATTTATCACACGGCAGAGAAAATTTGCGGAAAAGTAATGTTCTACCTGATAATTTTTTTCATTACCAAAGAGACATGACATCATCAGTCACGTGATCAAGGCGTTTTGAATATTTTAGTTCGTTTTTAAAGTACGTTTTTTGGCATAAAATGGCGCGTTTTTGCTGTTTTTCTCAACAATTCTTTACACTGTATTGTCTCTAAGTAATTATCATTCCTTTTTCAAAGCAGAACCTGAAATGAAAACTGAGCTAGAAGTTTAAAAGTTGCGTAAATTGACCGATATTGCAAGCTCAAATCTTAAAGGAGACCTGCTCTTGAGACTTTTGTAAAATCCTTTTTTAACTTAACTGTCTGTTTGCCGAAATAAATGTTCAATGTTTGTGTCTATAAAGGAGAACTTTAAAAACTAAAAGGGTGCATTTGGCGGCCATATTGTTTTTCTTTGTTCCGAGGAGAGAGGTCATGTAGCAGCTCTTCTAACCCTAAAGGCCAAATGGTTTGCCACTGTAACCTAAAACAATGGAAGTAATGATGAACAATGCTATGTTAATGTTTTCCCCGACCAATGAAAAGACACCTTACGAGCACTGAACCGTATGATCGTACGATTCTCTCCCTCGTACGAATCGATGGTCCATAGATTTCTTAAACGTTCCCCGGCATGGACTAAGCCTGAAAGAGTATTAATGGGTTTGTTGTGACCTTTAAGTCTAGCTTCGATCAGTTAAAGATTAAATTCTACAAGGAAATTAAAAAAAAAAAAACGAAAAAGTCATGCTTCAAAACTGTCAATCACCATGGAAAAGGAATATATACCTCTTTTAAACTCGAATTGTCAGCCTTTACCGAGGTGGTCCAGTGGATCGGAGACGTTAACTTTTAGTTCTAACTGATTCTGAAGGTCCGGGTTCGAATCCCCTTGAAGCAAATTTCAAAAATCTCTTTTTTACCTGTGTGGTGCATATAGCTAATAACATAATGTGGTAAATTGAAAGCAATGTTTACAGGCCGGGAATATATAAAATGCGGTATGTATCATATCATATCATCTACTGGTATTTTTAGTAATACTGGACACTGTTATCATTACTTAGCTCAACTGGCTCAATCGTCGATTTTCACAAGTGCCTAATTTAATTCGAGAGGTAACTGCTTTGAGATGGGACGTCAGAATGAACTAAATTCGACAGTTTCAAATTAAATACGACTTTGTCGAATCTGCGACAGCAACGTTAAGCGGAGCTCTCGTGCGCGAAGCGCGCGCAGCGGAGCACCATGGGTAAGAAAATGTGGTAAACTACCCATCCGAAAAAATTTGGTAATCACGTGACCGTACACCGACCGACCGCCCCGAGAGTCCGTCCGCACCACATGCATACCAATGTAAAATAATTCAATCAACAGGTATGGCAACCGAAATGCAACTCAAGGTTTTATTTGGAAAGAAATCGCATGGCCGCCCGGACTTTAAGAAAGAAGTAACAACAACAAAGTCGTGTCTTTTTCGACGTTATTTTTGATGGTTACACTACGAGGAAAACAGAGAAAGAGCTAGAGCGAGTGATTGAAAACAAAAGACACGAATTTTGTAGGAAGAAAAACATGAAAATTCAAAGCGGCGGTGAGACAATAGGGCCATTTATACGAGGAAAAATAAGACGCGTCTTACATAAGACGCGTCTTAAATAAGACGCGAACTTTCCGTATAAACGGCACATTTCGTCTAAAATAAGACGCGGCTTAGCTAAGACGCGTCTTATTAGATAAGACATGCTCGTATAAATGGTACAGTTCGCGTCTTATTTAAGACGCGTCTTATTTTTCCTCGTATAAATGGCCCTAATGAGAAATGCTAGCGGCCAGCAAGGTGAAAATGAGGAGCAGTGAAAAATAAAAGCGAACATGAACACAGGAGACAAAATATTAGGTAAGCACGTACGACAATTCCTCCATAAAAATAATCTGTAACTAGGAAGTTTAGTCCTACAAAACAGCGTTGTAGTTGTGCAAAACAACGGCAAATAAAGACAAAAAAGAGTGCTGCACGTGCAAATTTGTTTTTTCGCTAATTAGAGAAAAAAGTGTGTTGCACGTGCAATTTGTTTCTTTGCTAATCACATCTATTGATCTTGATGCCATTTTCACTGCCGTCCCCGTTTAGCATTACACGATTTAATTTTTTTCTTAATAAGTATTATTAACCAGAGCTTCGCTTTTAGCCCTGGCTAAATCTATATGTTATAGTGTAGTAAAATAATTATAATTTACTTTTACCGGTATCACTTGTAATAATAATAATAATAATAATAATAATAATAACAATACAAGGTAAAAAATTATTTATATAATAAAAACTATTTACCTTACGAGGGCTGAAATAGCTAAGGCGCCGGTAATGTTGTCCGAGGAACCAACCCGCGGAAAAGCGGTAAGAAGACAACAGTTTTACCGTGCGCGAGCGTTTAGTTGACACTTATACCTGGTTTGTACTGTAATTAAATTAATAATCTCATAATTGCGGTCAGGAAAGAAATATTCAGTGGAGATGGATTTATAGTTGATTTACCTGGAACACAAGCTTTAAAAAAATATGGTAGTAAGTCGATGGCAATTTTTGAATCATTTAAAGCTTCAGTGTAGTTCCCTGCGAAAAGAAGGAACGCAGAAAACAATTACACCTTAAAAAGAACCGGTTCAGTTGACACACATTCACCTGGTTTGTGCTGTGACGGATTACAGTATATTTTAGGTTGTCTTTCTCAGTAACTTGTCCTGTCAACTACTGTGCTTACATTGTAGCGGATCCTTCTAAAATCTCCTGCCATTGGCAAAAGAATTAATGGAGCCCGAAACCAATTATGGAATTGCACGCGCCTTAGGCATTCTACCAATGAATAGCAACTGAAATTAGTTATTCGGAGCAGCTCTTATTTGTGGTCTTTTCCTTTAGAAAGCGTAAAACATAAAGCATGACTAGAAATATGTAACTGACACGCCTTGCTTGACTGTTCTTACAAAAACTGTCCTTGCAAAACCGATTCATTTAAAAATCTTTAGAAAGTTGACAAGCAACTTCTTACCCAAATCTAAATGTGCTGTTGCCCTCTTGCTGTACAGTTTGGCGTTCAGTTCTTTATCCTTGCAGTTCACTTTAATTCCTTCTGTGTAGAAGTTTATGGCGCTGCTGAAATTCTGTTTGTTGTACTCATCGTAACCCTCATTGTTGTAAACCTCTGCAATTGCTATAATACAGCAATTTATAATTATTTCAGTGATTTTTTTAAACTTTTTGTGATAAACCAACGTAA